AGCTGTGAATTAATCACGATTCATCGCGATTCATCAATATTCCTAAATATGACAAAACAGTTTGATGTTTGTGTTTATACTTTAGATTTAAGAATCCAAAGACAGGTCAAAATGACCCAGTGATACGATGGTTTGGACTTCACCTGGTCTGGACCAGGACAACTAGTACCACCTCAGATCTTTGATCATTTCCTGTTTATATTGAACTGTTCTCCTACAGTAGATACAGTAGGTGAAGGTCAGATGTAACTCACAGGGTCAGGTCAGAGGTGGGGCAGTTAAGGTGGGGCAGTTAGAGAGGTGAGGTGCAGACGGTTGGGACTTTTGAAGTTGGAGATGGAGCGACCAGAAAAGTGGAAAAGATGAAGACGAGATCAGATGTACAGATGTAGCGGTGGAGGACACGCAGAAGGTCTGAGATGGAGGCAGATCATCCTCTGTGGTGACCCCTGGTGGTCACAGTTGGACGTGAAAGTGCACTTCCTTTCTTTGACTCTTTTTCTTGTCTTTGTCCTGACAGGAACAAGAAGACCCCAACAAGTTGGCCACCAGCTGGCCGGATTACTACATCGACCGCATCAACTCCATGGCTGCGGTGAGTCGATCTCCCCGTCAGGACGAGTGTCTTCCCTCAGGCTCCCAGGGTGTCTGCGGAGGTGACGGTTGTCGGGGTCTTCTGGCGGGTCACAGTGACCTTTGACCCCCAGCCACTCTCCAAATGTTTGTACATGGTAAAACCTGACATTTTCTTTAGAAACGTAGAGACGGCAGGGCCAGTGGTGGAGACAGGAAGAAGATTTATTTTTCATCAACACAGAAAGAAGTTCTCTGGAAGGATTTTATTTCGGAGGTTGTTTTTTTTTTTTATGTGTGTGTATTGAGTTTCTAGAAGAAGTTCGTCCAAACACCAGGATTCTGTTGATTCACATTTAACAAAAACACAGCGACAGTTAAAGACCTGGTTTGTCTCATGGCAAACTGTAAATCATGTTATTGGACTGTGTCCTGTCACAGTGGTATGGACGGACGGACGGATGGACGGACGGACAGATGGATGGACAGACGGATGGACGGATGGATGGATGGACGGACGGATGGTTGGATGGACAGATGGATTGATGGTCGGATGGATGGACGGACGGATGGATGGACAGATGGACGAATGGACGGATGGATGGTTGGATGGACGGATGGATGGATGTATGGACAGACGGATGGATGGTTGGATGGACAGATGGATGGATGGTCGGATGGATGGATGTACGGTCGGATGGATGGATGGATGGACGGATAGATGGATGGATGTTGGATGGATGGAATGGATGAATGGTAGGATGGTTGGATGGACAGATGGATGGATGGATGAATGGTAGGATGGATGGATGGTCGGATGGATGGATGGTCGGATGGATGGTCAGATGGATGGATGTATTACCGTAATACGTAAACCTAGGACAGGGCAACAACTGACCTCAACTTTTATAATGGTAATAACTACATTAAGATTTCNCCCCACAGTCTGTCAGTCAGTTCTGTCAGTTCTGTCAGTGTCTTTCACTGCATATGTTTAAAGAAGATGTTCAAACCGGGGCCTGTGGCCTCGTAGTTGAGCCTTTCTCACGTTTATTCCTGATCCTGAAGAAGAAAAGTCTTGGTTCAACTAAGAAACAGGAAGTTTTTGCAGATTTTTCACATTTTTGTCAAATTACTAAAATGGCTGTAGCAGTTTTACAAAAAAAAAAAAAAATAGGGAGACAGCCTCCCAATTCCATGTGACTGGGAACTGTTAGTCCCAGTCATAAAATGCTCAGAATTCCAGTCGTTAGCCTCGGCCTCGGGGGAACAGCGGGATAATAGCCGTAGCCTTTAGTTTATATTTAGAATTCCTGATCAGATTTTTGTGCGAACAACGTTATTTTCCATCATTTATTTTGAACGAGTGCATTTTAGGCTTCATGCATCAGCGACACACGTGTTCCACATCAGGGTTCTGATGAGTTGCACTCGCCAGTTACACACTTAACTATGCGGGGTACATTAGCTTGAAGGTGTATCTGTGCCTCTAGGGGGCAGTTCCCAAAATTAAGGAATTAGCGAAGTACCTTTGCCGGTTTACCGACCGACTGTAATGGTATCCTGATGTGTTTGTTGGCCACAGGTTCGATCGCAGTTACAAATACCAGATGTTAGCGGGAGCTTTTTGGCCAGACTCATTGACACGCTAATCTGGCTCGCAGTACGACCAAATCACCCCCCCCCACACACACACCCCCACACCCCCCAACACTTGTTGTGTCCAACTTCCCATTGACTACAGTATAAATATACGTGTTGAGAGAAACGGGAGCCAGAGCTTTTATTTCTTGGCGGGGAGTGGAGGAGTGGGGGGGTGGAGGAGTGGGGGGAGGGG